GGGGGGAGGAGGGGGGAAAGCACCATCTGGATTACATTATGGTCTGAAAACAATCACTGACACCTAAGAGAGAGCTTAAATTATTTTAGAAAAAATGTAAGAAATGTTTGAAACTGAACTACCTGCATAACTGTTTCTTTAAAGCGTAGCATTAGAGATTTTGCATTAAATTCTACATATAGAAGATATATTTAAAAACTACTGTATACAGATGTTTTCAGACAACTTTCTTCTTTTCATTGTGCAGATCCCTCTGTTGGCCTCTGCTGAACTACACAGGAGTAGCTGTTTCACCACTATGCTATGCAACTTCTGTTTGGATAGCAACAGGAGGTCAAGTATCACCAGTCACTTCAAGCATTTTAAAAATACAGAGATCAAGGCAAAAAATCCAGACTGAATATGGATCAAATCAGAGGACACCTCTGTGTGACAAAGGGAAACCTCAAACACAGAAAACCTTAAAATGGTTTGCCACTTCTAGCAAGAAGTCAAGAAGCATTTAAACTGCAAAACTAGAATATTTCAGCTATGAAAGTGAAAGCAAGAAGAGGCAAATGGCCATCTGATTAGGATGTAAAACTATACACCACAGTGCTGTGAGAAGTCAAGATTTCCAGCTGAGTTAAATACAGTTATAGCAGTCCAGACAATATGCTCCAACAGAGACCAGAATGCAATAAAATTCCAGTAGGTGTTTAAAAAAGAGTGCGTTCTGTACTTTACTTTAGTGAAGATACACAAACACAAGCATTAACATGTATGAGATCTGAAAAAAAAATTGTAGAATTAAAAGTCATCTAGAATTATTGTGAAAATTTACATTGAGCTTGAAAACATTGAGTACACAGAGCTTCAAAAAAGACAACATACTTCAAAAGAGAAGCAGCCTTGTGGTTTCAGAAATCTTTTAGTGTGCTTCAGCCTCTGATGATATGACATTACTTGGTATGATTGCCACCTCTTATTTCTGAGCTGATAGACATCATGAGCTCAACATGTCATATAGAGAATAAATGAACAGCAGGGTGCCAAGCAGAAAGCGGGGTAAAAGGAAGAGGTGGCAAAAAAAGAAAAGGTAGGAGTGGATTGTGCTAATATCTAAGGTATTTTGGGAAAATCTCACATACCTTTTTTGGTAGTATTGCCTCTGAATTCCTGTATTTTATACAAGCTCTAAAGTACTATGTACGTTATGTCCCAAAATTAATTCTAAATTCTTATTTTGAGTAGATATGTATCAGATTAATGTTACATTTTTTTATCCCAAATTTATTTTCTTTTTAAGAATCAAGAATTCACAGATTCACTACATTGTAATAATTTCAGCAGTAGAGACTTGAAGTTTTTATAGTTTCTGAAAATGTTTACTTGCATATGCAATCATTCTTAAGTGAGAAGTCCATTTGTAACAGCCAAAGTAATTATTTTACCTACAGTAATTAAAAGAAAAGGTGTGAAACAGAAAGATATGATGCATGTAAATGTATGAGTTCCCCTAATTAATCAGCCCAAAGACTGAGACTTGAAACAAAAGGCATAAGTACGTGTAAGAAACAGAAAGTCAGTAGAAAAATACCTCAAGGAATTTTCATAAAATTTTCTAATAAAATTCAATGAGACACTTTAAGAAATTAGCATTTTTTTTTATGCAAAGGAGGGTGTCTTTTTTGGTTTGGTTTATGGCTGTTGGGTTGGTTTTCTCTCCTAAACTTTTCCTAATTCTGGAAAAATCTTACTTGTTTTATTTAATTCTTTCAATACTACTCTATTTATTTTACAATTTATCCTGCATTTAAGTGACTAACAAATTAACAAGAAAGTCATCAGCTACACAGAATGTCTTCCAAGTGATCAATCTGTGCCAAAGTTGACATTAGACAAGCACTGATACAAAATAACAGACAGAATAGAAACTTTGACATTTCATTTAGTTGATGCTTATGACATCTCAAGGATATTAATTTATCCAGAGCTTGAAGGAGCACAAAGAAGATTAGTGGCATAATTCCCATGTACAGTAATTGAGTCTAAAGACAATGGTGATTTTATATTTAATCATCTTCCACACACACATTAAATTGCTTATCACTTTAAGATGCCATCTCACAACTGCACTGCATACCTGGATAGTTTTGAAGTAATATCTTAAAAAACAATCACCATGCCAAAGCCTATACACCCATATGGCTTTCAATGCGTAAGATAATGTGAAGACTATGCATTTAAATTCTTTATGGCAGATTTCAGTGAAGAAAAATTAAATATATTCATGTCCATCTTAAATCAGCCAGTGTCTGGATTGACGTTATTTTCAAATAGTCCAGAATTTCCCTTAAACTACTAAAGTGCTTCAGGGAAAACCTACCCTAATTTGAAAGAAATATTATAATGACATAAATAATAAACCCTGACTGGAGGGTAAAAGTTTTGCCTAGCATTAATACCTATGAAATTATATGCATGGCTTATATCCATCTTTGGACTGCACCAATACCTCAGGTTCCCTGTTTGGTGTACGTAGCTTACTAAATGCTGCATCTTTCAATAAGCTTTTTTGAAAAAAAAACAACAAAGAAACACAAACCAAAACAAATCAAACAAACATACAAACAAAAATCCAAAACAAAACAGAACCCTCCCCAAAAAGACAAGAAAAAGGATTTCCTTCTAACCTGCATAGCCTTACTCAGTTCTGAAACTTATACAATACCCTAGAAAGAGTTAAAATTCAGAACACACAAGTTACAATGCATTTCTGACAAGCTATTCCAACTCTGAATAGATGTTAAAGGTATCTATGAAGTCTTTTTGTTTGCCAAAGAGAAAAACACCCTTCATTTATTAACCTATTTTTGGCTGTTCAAAAGACTGTATAAACACTGCACCACTTAAGACAGACTAATGCCCAATAACCTAACATTGAAATTAAAAAAGCTTCAACTTATTAAAAATTGAGAATTATCTTCCCCAATTTTTACTTTCATCTTTGAATTTGTACCCATATTTGAGGCAGAAATACCTACCTCACCTCAAGTTCCAACCTCCCCTATCACTATAAATATGACACACTGATCTCTGCCGAATATTACTTCCTTGGAAGCAGATATGGATCATGTTTGCTTTGTAAGTATGCTTTTTCCTGGACAGTATATTGTTAACTAAGATCAGATATTACAATAAGATTAACCAGAGGACTCATTCATATCCTCTCAAACCTGACCTAGGCAGATTGAGATACAGAATTCTGAGATGTAAGAACAATTAAAAAATCAAGTAGTTTGTAGTAAAAGCTCCAAAGAGATACTCTTTTTTTACAAGGTGAAAGGAGTTAGTTCCTTTTGAAGAAATCATTATTGGCAGACTAATCTGGGAATAATTTTCTCAGTGGGAAAACGGTCTTTAATTAAGTAGTGCTTGTTAACATTTTGTGACACAGACATAAAATGTAATTAATGCACAAAGATATTCCCTCCTTTAAAAACTCTGCAAATTTACTCTCTTGCTAGCAATCCTAAGTGAAAAAACTCCAGAACTTATCAACAATAATTTTAAGATATGACTATAAAAACTGATCAAATATTTTTTCAGGTAGGAACCTTACCTTCCTTTTTCAACAAGCAGCAGGACATCTATTTTCTCTCCATTTTGCATCACACTGCTGGTTGCTGAAAACAAAACACATACACATTCATATGACCTTCATAGACACATATTTATAGACAAACACATACATGCACGCATATACAGACAGACATGTTTTTTTCAAAATTATTTCCAGTGGCAAAAGGACATGGAATTCCTAAACTTTGCAAAAAAAGAATGCTGTTGATAATGGTAACAAAACTCCATAAAACACCACACCACATTTACATTTAAAAGAAAAACTAACATTATCAAGAAAGTTTAAACGTACTTTTTAATGTGAAAACATGCTACAGTGTTTTATTATACTCAGCTTGTAAATACAAGTTGTAGAAGACATAATGATTCAGGAGTAAGCTGGATTTTGGAATCCATTAACTTTTTGCATCTTAATGGTTGCACATGTGTACAGTAAGATAATGCAAGTTATCTGTTTAGCATGAAGATCATTTCCACCCTTCTTTATGTTGCCTTATGTTATCCCTGCTAAAAAAAGCACCCTGTAAACACCTACATTATACATAACACAGCAAATACATCTGGATAGCTTTCAGTTGCGCCACTTAAAAACCATGCACTATACTAAAACCAGTAAATTAAATGTAAACTGCTTACTAATTTGAAATTCTGAAAATGTAATTTCTCAAAGTGTGTGTCATATATAATCCACACCTTACTTCAACTAATTCCCAGAGAGAGTAAAGTCCTAAATAACATTGCATGTTATATGATGTTTTTGTATCACACATACTCCTAGCCTCATCTATATTTACTGAGTCAAATATCAAGAAGGTAAGTTACTAAACTTCCACAAATGATTCACTAGTTTTCAAGTTTCATTTACACAAATCAGTATTAATAGTGGAGCAGATATATTCTGGAGAAAGCAGAAATCAAAGAAAACAGTATGGATATATAATATTTCCAAGAAATACAATATTAAAAACCCCAAGCAAAACAAATTCTCAACTGAATGTCAAAAGTGTTTCATTTTTATACATGAGATATAATATACAGAGATTTTTGCACGCTCTTATGATTCTGGCAGAGGCAATTACAGTTGCTTCAAAAAAAAAAATCAGGAACAGTTGTCCTTATGCCTAATCTTTTAATTCTTAATTAGGATCAAAAGTATTCACAAGCTAAAAGATACCTAGAGGCATAAAAACATTCCTGATTAAAAACCACCTTCATGGTGTTATTTACATTAAATATAAGGTGGCAGTAAATAAACAGTCGAAAACCCAATGGCATTTAGGCAAGCTCCTGCAAAACAGTCCACAATCTGTCAGCATTTATAAAGAGTATCATCAATAAAGACCTAAATTATCTTCTCTATGTTACTTTATAATAAACCTCAAATTATATGTATTTTTCTGTGTAACATATTGCCTTGTTCAATATAAAAACAAGTAGGGCAGATATGCTTAAAAGAGGATTCAGAGCATAATTACAAACAATGATATAAAATTGGTCATAGAAGACCATTTATACAAATATTCTTATCTCTCCACATTGTGATATTGAGCAAATAATATTTTTTGTATCAGAAAAATCTATTAGTCTGTGAAATAGTTTTCCAAGAGAATTATAATTTTCCAGTATGTTTGAGTATTTTAAAACTAGACCTGTCAATCATCTCAAGAATGTGTTCTGCAGCAAGTATTTCTGCCCTGTCAAAAATATGAGACAATAATCCCAAAAGGTTATATATTATTATTCAATTCTGTACTCTTGTAAGAAAGATACTGCTGCAACTGGAACAAAAACTGTCATCATTCATTTTAGAGCTGTGAAAAATTTCTCTGGCGTGTGCCAAAAAGTAGGAAAAAAAAACCAAGACAGAAATTAACTAACCCCATTATTTAGATAAGAGTTGGAAGAACATCTGACTTATGTGAAGGAACAGTTACTGAGCTTCCCAATATTTATTACTTCGAAATGTAATAGAAATGTCCTTAACTGTGAATTAATCCCACAGCACATTTTCTGAATACCAGATGTTCTTACTTAGTTCTTGCAACCTCCTTAGATATATGGAATCTTCTTCAGCATCCTCCATTTCAAGACAAAAATAAAGGCTCGACTTCTCTATAGCAAACCAGCCTTTTCTCCACTGATCCAGGTTATGGCAATCTTTGTAGTACAGCTGCCCAATAAGGTCACAGTTTCGCTCTAACAAGGATTCAGCCACTGGGGGAACAAAATGCTACCAAAGAAAATGGGGTGAGTCAGATGAAGAAAAAAACCCTCTGCCCCTAAAAAAGAAAATCAAAATATTGCACATCTACAGGATTCTAGGATTGAGGTCACAGTAAAAAAATCTCTAACTTTGAGATATGAAACCCACACTCATAAACCCAAAGATACACTAAATTTAAAATGCAAAATCAAGCTTAACATTTTTTCCATTCATGCTCTACAATTCAAACATTTTTGCTTTTAAACTACAATTGATTTAATTAGTAATGTGATTATTAACATCTGGAACAGTATAAAATATGGTATCACCTTATGAATTTCATTTCAGCAAATAAATTTAATGGAACCGCAACCAAAAAAAAGCTGAAATATACTCATAGAGTATATGTCTTTATATTAGAGCACGTTTAATATATTCTTAAGGTCGGCATTAAAATGCTGCTTCAATTCCTTTCACATTATATTATCTTGTTTCAAACATTAAATCACAAAACTTGTTTCTTCCTATTGCACAAGAAACCTTTAAACACAGGAAGGATCAGTATTCATCAATAATGACTTTTCAAAGGTTTTAAGCTAACAATGGCACTTTATTATTTGTGCAAAGGCTCCTGGCCTAACTGAAAAAGGTAATTATCAGTATTACCTTAGCTATTGCTGAAGTCCATTTTCTTTGTGAATGTGCAGTTTCAGCTCCAAACAGAAAAACACGTTCTGACAGTAAGTATATTTCAAATGTAAAGATGTCCCTAAAGCAAGTAAGAGAAGAAACACAGCTGTATTTAGTCTCCAAAAGAGTAGACATACTAGTGTTTTATTTCACTATTTTTTCATTCTTTCATAGATGGATCCCATCTGCATTTCTCCTCCAATTTTACAAGTAGGGCCTAGCTAATAATAAAGCACTTCACAATACATCAGGATCAAAGTACTTTGCAGGTCAATAAGACATGTTTAAAGCCTAGGGTGTAATAGTTTTTTGAATTCCAAAATGGATAAAAATGTTTACATATAGTCATTAAAAATGCACAGAGAATTTTTTGCTTTTGCAAGCTCATGTTATTTGATCAAGCACATTTTTGTGATGCATTCAAAAGATTTTTTTGTATGTTTAATATAAGGTGAACAACCAGTTGAATGGGAAGTTGTAAACAAGTTGAAATGTTGGTTCATAGGGACTTTTAGATCCAAATGACTTTTAGTCATTTGGTCTAATCTCCTGCTCAAAGAGGGATTATCACAATGAGAAGCCTTGAAAACAGTCAAGGATTGAGAGTACTGTTCTTGTCACCAACCTGTTCATGCCCTCCACCTGCCCTTTTAACTGAAGAGGCTTCTCCTATCAGACAGCCTGAATCTGCTGGGGTGAAATGCCTGGTCTCTGTGTATCACCTGCCATCACCAAGAAGAGTAGGAATACCTTGAAGCTGCTTTAGCTCAAGTAACTCTTAAAATTTTTCTTAAGGGAGGTTCTTGGGTATTTTTCCTTTTAAAAATTACACCACTATTTCAGCACATGAACCCTGTTTATTCAATTTTTAATGGACAAATAAGAGGAAAATGCAAATCAGTTTAAATTGGTGTGGGATTTGGAAAGGAAATATGGTGCTGAAGTTAGGGTTGGTCACTCTTTAACTTACAAATTATGGTTCACCAATTTATTGTATCATTTTGTCTGTGACCTCTTGTTAGATGCCAAATAGATGGAGTATGCTTTTTCCTTTCAATGCTGAAGACTGATTTGTCTAAATGTGGAGATCTGAGCATGAGTCACTTCTATAATTTTCAATAGCCACTTTGAAAATTATATAAACACTTAGTTCTGACTAACAAAACAGGCATTTTTAAGGACCCTCTGTTTCACTACATTAAATATCAAATCTAAGTAAAGTTTTTCATAAAACTCCTCAATCACAGGTAAAGCACAACAGGAAGTTAGTTATTTCCAAAGAGTGAAGTATTCAGCCAACATGTTTTTTAATTTAGTTATTAACCTAAAATGGAACCATCTGGAAATGCAACAACAATAGGTTATATTCGAACAAAGAAGAAAAAAAGTGATTTATTTCTTTTTTCTGGGTACCAGAGAGCTACTGCAGAATAGTGAAGGTCACTTCTCTGTATTTGATAGCATATTGAGACATCACCATGTTTCAGGATTTCTCTCCCCTGTAGTAGTCTAAGTCCTTTATTCCCATTATCTTTTTCAGAAACTTACTGAATAGACTATGCTGTCTTTGCAGACAATTTTGTTTTGTAACTAAAAGCATTACAGTATTACACTATAGAAAGTTATTTTTATTTTAGGTGCATATACACAAGTTTAAAAATAGTGTTATGGAGTCTGTTAGACAAATGCAAAGTATATTTTAAACAAAAATGTTGCACTAAAGAAATTGAGTATCACTGTAATCAGATTTAGGTCACTCTCCATGTGATGTTTTTCATGCACAAATGGGATCTGAGAGAGTTACAAAAGAAAACATAAGACCTCCCCTTCCTATCGCCAAAAAAAAAAAAAGCTGGTTTCTTCCAATTAAAAATGTTCATCAGTTCCACTGCTGTCCTCAGCTACAGAACAAAGAATGGATTTCAAAAACCAATACCTCTGTGACCAAATCCAGAAGCACTGTGGAGAGCTCTAGTCTGCTGCATTAGAAGGAAGAAACAAAGCGAGAATTTTGGCTTGAGGCAGAGGTCAATCCCAGGAAGAAAAATTAGTATTAATTGTTCAATTTATCATCATGTAGCCTTTCAAGCACTGAGAATACTCATTATAGATTTAAAAAGAAACATATGTATCTAATTTAAGCTGCCCTTTTAAATGATCCTAATATTTTCATTCTATCACTATAAAAAAATCCCTAAATATCACATAGCACTAATTTCTTGAAGCCAAATAAAACCAGCTTTTTTTTTTCTAAATTGCCTATTCAAAATTAAAAAAAATGAACAGCTTATTTACTGAAATATGAATTCAAGAGCTTACCCTCTATTTATAAAGAAGCTTGACTTGTGTACTACAAGACAGATAACTTCACTGATGTCAATCATACCATTAGGAGTGGTAGTTTTATCATTTTCATAGTAGCTCAGAAAGCCACTTTCCAAAGTGCACCATCTTTTGTTGCAATCTGTGATTAAAAAAATAATAGGTCAGATTTTCTTCATTAAGTTTTTTTTTAAAAATAGGTAAACAGAAGATGGAGAAGAAAGTCTGCAGAGCAACTTCAATTAATTATTTGGTATATTTAATTACAACTAAATGTTTCTTCCCCTTATGATCTAAAATATAACACATAGCATAGTAATGTCTATTTGCTACTGAAAGGAGTCATGAATTCATTCTAGCTCATGTCTAGTTCTTAGAACAAAATCTGAGGTCCATCTGTTACCACTGCTGCAGAGAAGTAGATCATAAAAGAAAATACTCTTTTTATTTTGTACTGTCTAAAAATTCCTATACAGCTGGCAAAGTACTTCTGAGAATTTGGTAAAACAGATCTGGCAAAAAAAAATCAACAAAAATCAAACTAAAAGAACAGTCATAATTTGAAAATATTAACTATGTTATCTGATATTTCATGCTTTTTCTGTTGTTTTCTATGTGGTTTATATAAGTTTTATAAATAGTTTGTACTATTTATTAATATTTCTTTGTATCATGCTATTTGTTATCTAGTACTCTAGTACTATCTAGATTCTGTCTAAATACAAATATTAAGTACTAAAATAAACATAAGATAAATGGCTTGTTAATGTATAGGTTTACGGGAGCTGAGCACCAAATTTTAAGGTTTTGAATGTTCAGGGCTTTTTGTCCCCCAGCTTTTCCTCCCTCATCTTCCAAAACCTATTCTACAAAACAGCTCACTACTTCAATATTCATTAAACTATTAAGCTCTCAAGGACAATTTTGGAATATCGAAGCTTTTTAAAGGGCTCCATAAAACCTTTTACACTAGAAACAAAAGCAAAAATCAAACTCAAGCCCCTAAACCTCTAAGCTTTACTTTTTGATCCACTACATCAGAATAGCACCAACATTTGAGCTCTCTTCCCACTGGTATCAACAGCTGTTAATTAACAACAACTCTCCTCAAAATGCATGCCCTCCTGCTGAAAACACTGATGCCGCTATAATGAGAAGTACACACAGAGTTGGCTCTCTCCTGTACTGAGACACACATAATGAAAAATGAGGCTGTATTTCCAGGTGTTCCACCTGGTTGGTATAAAACCTTGGTCAATTCACAGCACTGAATGATTTCTTCAATGTCCTTTTACCATTAGGGCCAAGTCTACAAAGGGTAACAGTTTTCTGCGACAACAAGCAAGCACTTAAATTTTCAGCCCTTGGTGCTGAATGCAAGGCTGTCAACTGCCTCAGAGATTCCTAACACTGAAGAAGAACTTAATTCTAATGATTAAACAGCTTCACAGGATTCTGACTTGGAGCCCTATCCAAACACAGCATTTAAAAAAAAAAAGGCCCCAAATCTGTCTAAATGCTGTGAGACCATGGTGCTTCCCCTGGCCTCAGAGGCCTCAATTAGTTCATGGCAAGTCAGAACTGCTTCAACAGGAGTTCTCTTGTCTAGAACTAGATAGTTCGGTCAGATTTTTCAGGTAACATGACCTTATTTGAATATCTACAGGCAGAGGAGGGAACTGAAATTTTCTCCCACATATTTGTACTCTAACCCTCAAATTACTTCCTTAAGAGAATAAGAATGAACAATATTATTTCCACTTACTCACAATAATTTGCAATATGAGTATTACTTCATGTTAGTGAGATTTAGTAACAGTTCTGAATGCAGTGAAAGAAGAGAAGAAGAAAGATTACGTATTTCATGTTTTGAATAGCAAGAAGTACTGTCATACTGCTTCGTAAACATGGAAGTGATAGATTAGAGCCCCAAGGCAAGAGCAGTTTCTCATTCAAAGTTGCAGGGGTTGTTTTTGATTTTTAAAGGATCTCATTACATCTCCCGCCCTTGTTCCATTTGTCTCCTTGAACAGCAAATGGTCAGGGAAACCTGTCTTCCCATGTATCTGTAAAGAGCCCATCCCAGAAATATCAGTCCTGACAAACCCATGGGTAATTGAACATCAATACAAAAACAAAGCAAACAAATGCCCACGCCCAAAAAAGCAAACAATAGAACATCTACCATCTTCAAGACACAATCACAATTTCAGAGAACACCTGAGCTGAGAGAAATCTGGTTCCTTTCCATTTATTGTATGTTCCCTCAAGTAGTAAGTGCAATGCTAAGCAAAAGACTACAAACTTTCAAAGCAGCTTCATTTCTGAAATGGAACACCGTCAACATTTCTTGTCTGGGGGCTTTCCTCACAGATTTTAAGACATCCTACTAACAATGCTCAGTCACAGTGCTTCTCCCCCAAAAAGGAGTACAGAAGCCATTCTGTGAGCCCTTGCAGCCAAATCTTCAATCTATACAGGCATTTAGAAATATGCCACTTCTAATATGCCATTGTGTCAGAAGAGTTTGCCTTGTATCTGCTCTCCACTTAGCTAAGCACTGACTTCTGGGGTTTTTTATAAACTTCTTTATGAATATATACAGATACCCACAGCACAGAAGATCAGGCCTGAACTTGGAGAAAGTAGGATTGAGGTTTTCTGTTAATACATTGTTTCCCAAATAAACTCACAGCAATTTCAGAGCAATCACAGATAAAGTCCTATCCAGCAGCAGTCCTCTGTCAAAACAGACATGTTTGTTAAGAACTGCAAAGTTGCTAGGAAATGCCTGTGATCAGGCATTAGCACAGTCATCACCCAATGCTTTCAAGAATTTGGAGCCACACTAACATATAGATTCTTCAAAAGTATATTTAAACAGGAGTTCAATTCTTCAAAAGTATATTTAGACAGGAGTTCTATGCTTTAGCATGCTTTTAATATCCATTAAGTATATTAAAGTCATATGCCATAAGAATATGGACATGATCATACAAAAATATGTATACAGCAGTGCAGGATGCCATGTAAGGATTTTAGAAGCAATAAATTCAATAATAAATCACCACCGATTTTAAAAATCCATGTTATTTGTTTAGATGGAATACAAATGGGAAGAAAAAGGGAAAATTATCTGATAACACCTCTCTCTTTCAGAAAAAAAAAGATAGACAAAAAACTGATATGCACAGGAGGCTGTGTATACCTGCTGTGATACACATGCATTATCACCCCACAAAACTCAAGTTGTCATAGAGTCGTTGTAGAGGCTCATTTCTACTTGGAAGATTTTTTATATTTGTGAGCTTGAGAAATACCCAACTAAAAATTCAGTGCTACTTGTAAATGACTTCTGTAATAGAATCATTTTAGATGAAAATTAATTCTTGGCACTAATCTAAATATAATTAAAGCAAGAAGTGTTTCTGTTTGTTTTTTATTTATCAATTACTGTGTTAACTGAACAATTTTTCAGAAGTTCAGTTTTTTTCTTCTGTCAACTACTGAATGAAAAGATCAAGACAAACAGTATTTTCTTTATCTGAAAGAGGTCTACTGAATCAAAAGAGGACATTTCTTATCAAAGACATTTAATCTCAAAAAAAGTAATGCAAGAAGTTAAAAAGAATAAAATTAATCCAAATCATACATATTCATGTGCTATTCAAATACATAAATTGAAAATTAAATACCTTCTTTTAATTTCTTCTCTGTAGGAAGCTTAGCCACATTAGAAGAAACTTTGTACAAGAATTCACAAAGAAAGGTGGAATGTGAAGAATCTTCAGAGAAGCCACTTTCAGAACAAGGATCATAGTTTGGGAAATCTATTCAAAGACAAAGGAGTAAAAAACACACAGATCTTCAGTTTTATCAGTTAAAGCCATTTTTCCACACGTCTAAATATATGTCTGTAAATATGCAGTTGCTCTGCAGTATCTTTACTACAACACTGATAAAACTTACAGGTTTTATTTTTATAATTAGCAAACATATTGGTTAAAAAACATGGTTCCCATTTCTCATAATGTTGCAATTTTCAACCACTGCTTGCCAAGGTAATATAAAATACTGTTTCCTGATCTACAAAAATTTGATTTTTATCTGTTGTGTAACATACTTCAACAGAAGGAGACTCCTTCTCTTGAAGGATTATATAGAGTTTACCAGCAACTCTGGCTGCAGACAGACAGCAATTCTGAGTATCATCATCAACATACACTGATTTTCCCTTCCCTAAAGATAAGAACATGATGGTACTGCCTTGGTTGGAGGGCCAAAAGTAGAAAAGACAGGGCCAAGACAAACAAACTTCTCTCTCTGTAGCCTTAGGATGGCTGAGACCATAGGTAGCAAAGAAACCACCCTAGCTACATGTCTGCACCTGACTGAGCTCCACATCCTATGATCCACTGCGTGGCACTGGCCTGAGCAATGCTCAGGCAGAAGTTTGGACACTGTGTCTGCCCTTGGAAGTCTTAATTCATTCCTGTGTTTCCCACTAATCCTTTTTTTGTTCAGCCTATGCAGTTTCACTTTGCAGAGTGACACAAGCCAATGGAAAGTTGATCCAGGACTACACCCACATAGCTTTTTTATTTTTTTTTCAGTGTAGATCTGCATGTGAACTTTCTGATGGTTTCAGATACTGTCCAGTGCTCTTAACAGAAAACCTCAGTCACACCCATGCGTCTCAATATATTTACTGTTTAGAGCAGCTTTCTGTTTCCAAGAGCCTCATAGCAGACACACACTGCAAACAGAACTGTTCACTTCCAAGCCAAAGTTTATCATTTGCTCCAAGCTGCAACAGAAGCTGTGATGGGAAAAGAGGTTTCTAGGATAGATGATATTGCAGGTTCAAGAGGTAAGTTTTATTTTGGGAGGACAGTTTGTGAAAAAACAGCTAGGTCTGTGTGCAATAGATGTAGATATCAAATATTCTTTTTGGAAAAGAAAAAGCACAAGATGAATTCTTTAGACAAATGTTAAAATTATGTACCCATTTTTTTTTCTGGTAGAAGATTGATAATATTGGTAGAGAAGATGATGTTTTTTTCCTGTGCTATAAGTAAGGGTATGAGATCTATGACTTATCACTGTGTTGTCTAAGCCTTAAAGATGATGTCTGAGCAAAACAGCAAACCTGCACACAAGTGAAATTGTGCACTAATAAAATACAGTTAATGCCACCACAAATGTGCCTCTATTTGTGATTTGGCACAAATATACCACTATTCTTCAAAGCAAAGCCAATTCTGCTTCTGAATTATTTCATTCTCTTTTTCGTAATAAAAAATTAGGTCACAAGAAAAAATGCATAATACCTGAGAACTTATTATGGTACAGGAATTCCATCTGCAATCTTTGTCCAGCTTTCTTGGCCAATAAGTATGGGGTGCTGTTAACAGGGTCTCCAGTGGCACACATAGCATCAGCCCCACTGAAGAGCAACATCAGAGTTTCCAGCACATCTTGCTTGACTACAGCAGCACACAGGGCCTTATCATAGAGAGGGGAAACAGGAAGTCTGTTTAAATTAGAAAGTTACTAGCAACAAATACATGCAATGTAGATGCAAATCCTTTAAACTCTGATATAGCTAGACCATAAACATTGAGAAGTATCAGAAACCATGAAGTATGGTCTGAATCTAGAAAAAATAGCAACAAAAAAATTCCAAAATATCAACCCAAACCCAGCAAATGTTGCTTTCACAAATTCCACTTGGTAAGGATAACATGAATAAATACAATTGGAGGGGAAGATTGCTATTTATTTGCATCAAACTACTGAAGAAAAACTCTATTTCAGACCTCAGAAGTGTAACAAAAGAGATGAGATTAGATTCTTAAACTCCATTCCTAGACACATACTGAAATTCCTAGGTAGATTTTTTTAAAACCACTGTCAGTCAATAAGGCAAACTACTCTTTTTATCGAGATGTATTATTAAGATATATTAAGAATAAAATGTATTAAGATTTTTTTAATTCTTTTTATTAAGCTGTATCTTGATACTTGTTCATCTTCTTTGAAATTTAAACATCTCACCATCCTAAATCGTGAGTCTCCATTTATTTTTGTATACACAAAGACAAACATGATAAACTTATTTTTTTCTTTTACAAGATTGGTCCAAAACCTTAAAACCAAAAATATCTACACAATTACAGCAAACTATTCCATTAAAATTTCTATTATTTATTATTTATTTATTTAATCAATTATTGACTTCTTCTTAAATGATTAAAGCAAAAGTCACTCAAAATAGGAAGATAACTCCTAGAAAATTTGGCTGTTCTAATAAACATATAAGCACCCCGAAGGCACAAGATAACAGAGAAGACAGTTCAGTAAAAGTTCTAGAATGACTTGGCAATGACTGCCTTATTACATGGCAATTTCATGTCTCTACAGAGAATTTGATAACTTTTCCCAGTATTTAAATGATTATTTGACATATATTCTTCCCCACAAAAAACAAACCCTATAATCTCTGTATATCCTTTCAGACAATTTGATTCATGCAATTGAGTGCATTAAATTGCAAAACGCATTAAAACTGTTTTGTATTCATTAACCCTGAAAAATCATGACTCAAACCATCAGATCTAAGATCTTAGAATCAGAACCAGAATATCAGAACTTAGAATTCAGTCAAATGGACATCAAACTTTATAGAGACATTGATAGTTGAAGTTCTCTGTTTTACAAATCTAAAGAATTTGTTGTTTTTGTAGAAGTAGAGAAAACATTTTTCATCACTAATTTCAACTTTTTCATTTCCAGTAAGCTACAAGCTACTCTATAAAGTGTGTATGAGCTATTTTCACCATTGATAACAATGAATTATCTACTGTATTTGAATGCTAAGTGTCAGACAAACACATAAGTAATCTAAAGAAGTGAAGTGGAAATTTGCATCCCTAGACTACAATTACATTAAAATAAAGATACATATGTTGATGGCTAAGGAAAACATAGGAAGAACTACAATAACCTTTTTCAAATAAACTAACTGGAAAAACAATAAACTAGGTAGTCATGCAATGACTCCTGCAAAGGCTCCTAAATAACCCTTATTCAACTGTCAGAATGTCACTCAGGACACTCTAATTTCTCACCAGGTTAGCAAGATGACCAAATTGCAGATACAATATATTCCAAAGCACAGTATGGGCTTAACCATGCTATATTACCTTGTTCAACTGCTCCTTGGTTTTGTAGTGGAAAGGTGTTTTCCTGAATTTTCCCTCTTTGTATTTTTGTGTGATGAATGTTATCCTTTTTTCTGCAGGGTCATCAATATGCAATTCTTCATCTGGAGGAAGATTTCCAGCCCAAAAACTGTTTGCCCTCTTATTTCCAATGACAATAAAGAGCTGGATGAGATGCAGGGAATAAATTAGCAAATTAGTATGAAGGATATGAAGCTAGCCTCTAAACAGTTTTCAACTGCTAAAAGTTGAAAAAGAAAGTTATTAAAGAAAAGAAAATCTCCTTCCAGAGACAGCAGCCTCTCTCAGTCACTGCCTATGGTCATCTACAAATGAATAATAAAGCCAGCAGCCATAATTTACCAACAATAGCAGCCAAGTTTTGCAAGACAAATCAGTTGTAACACTTCATTATATATTAGAAAATATTAGTTCAAGTTCAGAGAAGAGTAGCATGTGTTTTAAAGAAAACACTGATGGCTCCAACCCTCTCTATCAGGACCACTTTTTTACCACCACCACTTTTTAACATCCCAAGCAGCTAAGCTGGTAGTGACAAGTTTCCTCTCTTTTCCCCCTTCTTCATCTTGAGTGCTCTCCAAAAGCATTTTATTCCTTTTACCCCCAAAATATTAGGTACTTGGAAAAATACTAAGAGAAATTGTACATTTTGTTAGCAAAATGAATATTTGGAATTACACAGAGGTACATGATGCACATAAACATCAAGTTTATTGTAACAGCAATAATATTGTAATACTGTTTAGCAGTTGTATGTTCAGTTTTCTTGTGAGTAAATCAGTAAATACCTCCCTTTCATACAGTAGGTTTCAAGAAGGAAGAAAGAGTTAGAATATCACAACATACCTCAATAAGTTCATTGCTCCAAATGCTTGCATCCATTTTTAGACTTCGGACCTTGGAATCTCTTGGTCCTAAAGATCTGTGTTGTCCTAAAATCCAAGGGCATTATTAACTAAGGTACTTAAACAGGGTTTCTCTTCTGTTTAGATAACAAAAAAAGGTAATGAAGCCAGATTTATTCTACTTGCTATTTTTAAAAAAGATTGGGTTTGAGATTAGAATAATTTAAATAAAAGCATCAAAAATACACCTTTTTTTAAAAAAAGTAAATTTCATTTCACAGTAATGAATAAAAAAACAGGCTGTCTCATGTAGACTATTTCTGGGATAGTTTGGTTTGAAAGAAAGCCTAGAATTATAAATTATTTCCTTGAATCTACAACTTAAGCATATATTTCAATATAAAACATGACAGAACTATATTTTGAGTAGTATCTGAAAAAGCTATCCCTATTGGCAGCAAAATATGTGCAGATGTAAAAAACTATAACCCAGAATTTATACACTGAAAATTGTTGTTCTTTGGCATCTAGCCTTGCAAAAACCATTCCTTTCCCATGAAGTGTTAGTGTGTCTTAATTTCCACTAATTGTAAAGGAAGATTCACCTGAGAGAATTCAATTACCACAGACATGTCATTTATGCATGGAAGTGCTTTAGAATAAGGCTGACCTTGGTATTAACAAAAAAGTGATGCTCATGTTTTGTTTCTCAAAACTTCCAAGAGAATAACACTTCAAAATAAAATTAAAAAAAAAAAATAAAAAAAAAAAAAAGACAAAAAAAACCCCACCAATTCAAGGACATACGTAGATATGCAAATATGACATTTTGTAGAACCCACATAGCTTGCCATTAATTACTCTACCTGCACACTTCTTACAAATGACAACACAGAGATTGATGGATGCCCAGTCAGGACCAGGAGCTTTACAGTCAGCGCAGCTCCTGTTGGACTCATTGAACCAAATCTTCTCAGCTACTTCATAATCAGATAGAGTTTCTGCTATTGATTGCTGGAGTGCTTCAATCCAGTCTTGTTTCTCTCTTTCTGACTCTGCTGTAAAGCTGAAACAATTGACTTTTCTGTGTTATTGATCTTTATTTTAAAGCCCAATTAAACATGGTCTGTAGTCTCCTTATTTATTACATTTACACCCAAAATCACAGTCAAAAATCTTCCTCCACACAGATATAAATCCTAAAATGGAATGTATTATTTTGTATTTTTAAATTCAACTAAACTCCCTCTGTTTTAGCACTGTTTTCAATAAAACCACTACTAGTATAAGGTATGTCACTTTTGTAACTTTCATGCAACATCCCTGAGTTAATTTCAATCCTTTCATGTTACCAATTACCAAACTTAAACACTGAACTTTAACAAAAGCATAGAATAACATAAGGAAACATGGAGAATTAAATGAGAATTAAAAAGAGACTGGGAATTAAAAAAATTACTGAGAATTTTAAAAAAATACTTGCTTTTCATTTAAATTCGTCTTTTTAAAAATTAAATAGTAAAAAAAAACCCATCAACATGGTCATCTCTTAAGAAAAAAAAATCAAACCAGCTATCTACCAAGTAGCAACAGCTTCAAATTGCTGATCAAGAGTATTTTACCTGCTAGCTGACTGAGAGTGAAAGTATTTCCTAACAATCCCAGGAGAACAAATAAATTTCCTCCTTCATTACAACATTTCAGTTAAGAAACACTACAACACTTAACAAAAGGCTTTTATTAGCATGTACTTTCATTTTCTTAGAAATCATTACAAGTCTCAGCAATCAGCCAAAGTGAAACTTTCAACTACTTTCAACCAAGGATTTCTACAAGGGATAGCTCATGAAAGCTTCTTTTCAAATAAAATGCATACGACTAAATGGATGCAGCATTATTTCACTATTGAAGTTTATTATTCTTTAGGATGAAGTCAGTTTGTGAAACTGGAGGAATTAATTTCTTTTTTTTTTTTTTTTTCCTTTTGCCCTTGCACAGAATGAACAAAGAAGGCTGCATAAATGTACAAACCTGTGGACATAATATGCCTAGTCAGGAGCTAACAGATGAAGCACACTAAACAAATCAAAGAAAATATTCCCATTTTCCTAAACATTGCTGGACATCCTTAATAAAAACATTACCTTTCCATCCAAACTAGCTATTGCGCTGCAGTATGAAAACAGTATTTCTTTAGTGCCTTAGTAATTGCATATTTTGTAAAGTAAATACTCAAGCTCTTACCTAAAGCTTTTATAAGGAGTTATTATTTCAAAAGATTGCTTTGCAGCCCGATCCACTTGTTTTACATTTGCCACATTCATAGGGATTAAAGTGATACCAAATCCTGTCTTAAAGTCCTAGGAAAAAGACAATAAAGGTTTAGAAGGTTGTCATTCAAGAATAAAACATGTAAAGAAAAATTATTTCAGCATGGTCCAAACAAAACAAGACCAGTAACAGACATCTTTGCCATAAAATATAAGCCACTTCTAATTTATTAATGGCTAAACAAACCTCCACTAAATTTTACCCAACCAATAAGTTTCCAACTGCTAGAATGACCTTACTTGATTGTTGGTAGGAGTAAAAATGCATGCTCAAACTATTAATAAAGAAAAGAATAAAAAAATAAGTTTAAACAATAGATTGCATTAAAATGTGAATGTAAAATTCTGGAAGGATCTAGCTTAAATCATACTTTAGTGTCTAAATAAACTTCATAAATCTAAATCCTTCTAACTGACAGCAGTTTTTCTTGCTTTAAGACTGAGTGTTTTAGCAAACTAAATGTGTATAAAATTCTTTCTTAAACCTTTGATTCCTCATGTTTCTGATGTAGAACATGAACTAAACATGTCTTTGAAAAAGATCTTATACAGCAGCTAAAACAGACAAAGAGTTAGTTGTGATTCCACTATAAGAAAGTATTTTTATCTTAAGTGAACAAGTGAAACAAGTGAAATTATTTGGGGGATTTTTTATGCATGGAAAAATGTACTAAAAAAAACTTTTGTATTGACAGAATTGGGAAATAAAATGCAAGCTCACACTGAGCTCCTGTGAGGTCCTCTCAAAATGTATGGATTTTGGACAATCAGATGAATACATACGTTATTTCTTATATCTGGAATAACATCAGCATTTACTTCTTTAAATTTATTTACATGTTCATCTCAAGGCAGTCACTTCCACACATTTAATTTCTGGGAATATTAGCATACTTCTTGAGAACAGTAAATAAATCAGAAATAAAACCAAGCTGTATCACCCAAGCAAAGAGCCAAATTCGTATATCTCACATTTGCATGTTCACTGTTACCTCTCACATAACAAGTAGTTGGGTACAGACTGATAAAAATAAAAGCACTGAAGGGTAAAAGCTTCAGAGTTGCCTGCTCTGAAGAGAGGATTCTTTTTCTAGTTAATACATATTTAAACCTGCATCACTGACAAGTTTCTCTTTGTAAGATTCACAAATTTTTGAGCACTAAGACCTACATGGAGAGCATACTTCACAAAACTCTTTTAATTTTATTTCCCTATTTCAGGTATGAGCAAATAAAACTATCATTGTAGCCAGGACTGCTAAGGCTAAATCTGACAAAAGCCACATATATGTGTGTGTCTATACACAAGCAGAAGTATCAATTTTATCACACAAGGCATGGAATACAATAATGCCACAAAAAGCATAATAACATCCATTAAAGATGGGATTTTTAGAATGACAGAATTCTTACTATTTAAATATACTGTGAGATAAGTTAGCTAATGTTTCCTTGCCAGACTTCTTATTAAGAATTTTTGGGTGTTTTTTTACATGCCATTACCTTTGACAGTAACAGTGGGGAACTAGGTATGGATTTCGACACAAATCTTTATAAAATGTAGAAGTTTTTCAATAACTAACCTATCTTTGCCACTTCTCATATAATTTATTTTAGAAAATAAGACAAAAAATAGAAATATTTTTAAATATTTCCCCTTTTCTTCTACCTTCTTATCCTGTAACCTAGACATTTTTATTCTCTCCCCTCATCTTCAGCCCCCACTCCATTTGTGTGTAAATCAAGGGGGTTCATACTGACACACCTGCCTCAGAAGAGAGAAGAGAGTTCTGTTAAGCCTACACAGTCCCTAATTCACCCTCTATGAGAAAAGAGTGGGCAGAATAACCTCCTTTTGAGTGTGAACTTGACAGCATCCTCTGTAGCAGTGAAGCATTCTTAACTTCAAACCACCAGTGAGAAAAAGAGGTGCGTGAAATAATAACAAAGAAAAGACTGAGGACAAAAAACCACAAAACCTTAATTTCTATCATGAAATGAAAAAAAAAGAAACCTAACCAAAACAACCCAAAACCATTACCTTTGTAGAATTAAATGGTTTATTCTTCTGAGTTGTAAATCGGTTGGAAGTTTCATTTGTTGATTCAAGTATTTCAAATTAATTAAAATAATTTGCCTTAAGAAATCCTGATTTTCAAATGAGAGGTAATACACCCATCCTTGAAGCTGCACAGTACAATGCATTCTTTGTTTATTAAATAACAGCTGAAAAACCACCAGAAGCCATGGTTATAAGGTGTTCAATACACTTCCAGATTAAAGTTCACTGCAGGTAAATGATTAACAAAGCAACCAAAATAATAACTACCTTATTTAGCCAGATCAAAGTTCCCCTGTAGAGTAGCTTCCCTTTAGGCACTTCCTACTGGTGACGGTCATAAAAATAATGCAAATACGAAAAGATACATGCTCATCTTCCCAAAAAAGCTTCCAGCAATCTAAGCACTTAAAAGTCCCTAGACAGTTGCAGCAAAGAAAATTATACTTACTAGCCACTGACAGACACATCCTCAAAGAACTAAAAAGCTCAATAACAACGCTTTGAGGTCTCTGCAGGATCTTACTTAATACATTTCCCAAATACTGGTTGCAAAAAAAGGAAGTCCTTCTGTATATGTATACTGCCACCTGATAACTGAGAATTTTCAAATTTTTGCCTGACAACTGAGAATTTCATTACAGAACATAAAAGGAAAGAAATGCTAACTAAATTTCATTCACCTACTTATTCCAAAATGTTCCTTCTTGAAAATATTTATTCTATATTCCTTTCAGACTCTTTCTTATGCCTTCAAATAGCTGGTTGCATCTCCTTTCCTTGAAGCAAAACAGAGCAAGCTGCATGGAAGCAACCTGCCACACTAAGATCACACACAAATATTTACATCCGTGAAAACAGACACCAAACTTTGTTGTACTGCATTTAACAATACAGAACCAAGAAAGCACTCTAGAAACAAAGTGAAATTTGAAAGTCTTTACCTTTAGGTGCAGCACCAACCCTTCAAAATTTGCACACGTGCACAGTGTCTGAACAATCCCATTAAAGAAACAATAACTCATTATGCTTTACATTCAGCAAGGGCATAAGAACTTACAATACTGAATTTCAGTGTGAGGAATGTCAGAAATGTTAAGAAATTTGAATCTACTTTTCAGAACAGAATATGGTGGCAAATTAAGCAATTTCAGTGGTACATTAGAGTGAAGTTATTTCCATAATGGCCCAAACAAACTGCTTAGGGTAACTGCACAACACTTGGTATAAATCTGGCTTTGTGACTGACAGGTACACTAGAATCTAATTTTCAGTGCTCAGAATTGTATGCTTTCAGGAGTGCAGTCTTCTTCTCTACTTCAGAAACAGAAGTGGGAATTGGTACAGGGAAGAAAGAAGTGCTCCACTTTGAAAGATGAATTCATTCACTTTGAGTGCACAGAAGGACAATAGGGCTATTCAAGAACTATACAAAAATATTGACAGCAAAAGCAAGCAGTATCTTTTCAGAATAATGATTGTCTTGCTTCTACCCACTGAAAGCTCATTGTTTCAGACACACTGAACTGCACTACGCTTTCTGACAAAGGAAGAAAAGTTCAAGACTCAAAAATGCACAGAGAAAGATGAGGGTTGGGTTTTTTGTTTTTGTTTGTTTTTTTTTTAATTTAAATACAGATACGACTTAAATGTCTATAGTTATACTATCTTTATGAATTCTAAGAAAGGTTGAAAAATTAGTTGACAAGAAGAGATTTTAAAAATATAAAAAATATTATAGATATAATAATAGATCAAAAGTATTCACTAAAAATACTAAGCTAAAAATACTAAGCTAAAAATACTAAGCTAAAAATACTTAGCTAAAAAAACTAAGATGAGTACTGACTTTCTGATTAGCTGTTGTTCCTTCCTGAAGGGTGAATTATTATAATCTGGGAATGTTGCTGTCATTATCACCCCTGTCTGAAAAAGACATAACCTATGAACACCTGTCATCTGTATATAAATCATGAAATTATTTAAGTTTTATTTTTAAACATACCTTTAACATGTATCTATAAAGTGCCTCTCAGTGTACAAAACTGCCCTCTTTATTATGCATTATCTTTTCACAGGCAAAAGCTGCCCCATGACAGGCTTTACTAACATTTCTTCAATTCTATTTTGGATTAATCTATCAAGGGGATTCAAAACAAGTCTCATACCATTTCTAACATACCACCACTGTTTTACAGACACAGAAATAAACACCAAGGCTAAGGGACACTAAAGTATATATGTATAAAATCATCCGGCTATATCTGAACAAATGAAATTTTCAGAGCTGCTGGACACCTAACTTCATTGTCTTAAAAAGCCAGACTTGGGCACCTTTCTGCATGCAAGTCATAAATAAATTTGTAATCAGAGGCTGAAACTTGTGACTCTCAGTGAACACACTTTCTCCACAAAACAGCACTTTTAAAAATGCTCTTCTCCTACCTAGAAATTATAATTATTTTTCTTTCTATTTTTTCCCTTCCACTTGGTTTTGTTGCAGTAGCACTAGGGCTGACATTCTTACTAGTTTAGTCAAACCAAAATTCATCTGAACACAGAAGTTCTAGAGATGCTGCTTGTGTTCCTCAACATTTACTGTTTCAGGAGTTATTATCATGTCTTTGCATGCACTGTCTTTCATGGATCTAATATTAGCTCCCCAATGTATGAAGTTGATTAAAAATATCTTTGCATCAGGAAAACATCTCAGAGAAATGAAACCAAAAAACTGCAGCCACCATTACATCTTTACCCATACTCTTCACATGAAAAGTTAACTAACTTAAAATACTGAAATAAAATAAATACTGAAAATAAAAGGTTAACTAACTACTACTTTCATATTAGAAATATCAATCCATACTTTATCTCTTTCTTTTTTGGTAGAGGACTAACTGGATAACAGCAACAGTGGAGAAAAAGGAAAATTGCTGACATGAGTTCAAGAGACTATGTTTCTACATACTCA